AATAAAATGTTCATACTGACATGTAGAAATATTTTAACCAAACATAAACAGTATAGATCTAACTGTAAACAAAAAGACCAAGAGTCGCCCGGTGAGCCGACCATTTAAAAAATCGCAAGTGCATAAAATTTAACCTAGATATGCTATGTTTACAAATTACTACAAAGTTTAAAGGTACAAAGAGAAAAGCGGTCGATAAATTGACCACGTTCCGTGGAGAAAAGTACTCAAGAAAATCTGTACACATTACAAATAAGAAAATAAAAGTATTTTTGAAACATAAATAAAAATGCGATCTTGTGCTCCAAAATATTTACCTGAAAGCTCACAAAGCAAAATAGTATCCCAAAGAAAAATAAAGCCTTCAATTTCAAAGCACATGTAACGTGACACTGTAGAACACGTAAACGAAAATAAAATTAAACGGCTATAAAATGCCCGCTCTCATGGAACGTACGAGAAAATGGTCGCCACCGGTTAACGACCTGGGACTACCATTTGATTTCTAATTCTCTGCAAAAACGAATAAAAATTAAAACAGCTACTCAAGACCCATACACTCTCACAAAACGCATAAAAGAGCTTTACAAAACACACCCTGAAAATCCAACAAAACCAAAAAATAAGTAAAAAATTAATACCGCGTGTTCAAAGATCTTCAAAAACACGCCGAAACTCACGATTTAACAAAATCTGCTAAGCTATCCAAAGCCTGCAATATAGTCTTTAAATTATCCAATGCATTGCATAAATCAAAGAAATAATACCAAAATTTTATTTTTTAGAAAGTTAAAAAACACGTGTACAAAGCACGCCGAGATTAAACCAACAAAACTTATAAAAATAACAAGGCTTCGAGCCAAAATGACACACCAAGCTATCCCAAAACCTGCAATAATAGCCTTAAAACTATCTATTGCACAACCAAATAAAATCAAATCAAATTAAAAACGTTAAAAAACAACACGTGTTCAAGGAAACACTGAACAAAAATTACAAAGCTTCGTGCCCATAATGACTCGTCAAGCTTTCCGACCAAAACCTGCAATTATAGTTTTAAAACTATATATTGCACAACGAAATAAAATCAAATCAAATTAAAAACGTTAAAACACAACACGTGTTCAAAGAAACACTGATCAAAATTTACAAAGCTTCGTGTCCAAAATGACACGCCAAGCTATCCGACTAAAAACTGCAATTATAGCTTTAAAACTATCTATTTCACAACCAAATAAAATAAAATAAATTAAAATGTCAATTGTTCTTGAACAATTGAGAGGTCTTTCCTTTTGTAATGTAAAATACATGTTCCAATAGACGTAGAATGTATTGAAAAGTTCTAAAACGCACAAAAAACTGTTAAAATATAATAAAAATCAACAATTTCATTTTTTAGGAGATGACCTTGACTTTTGACCTTGTGACCTTTGTGAAGGTCATTGGTCCACAATGTCATTGTAAAAGACCCCATGGGTCTAGGATATTTGGTTCAAGAGTTAAAACTAATTTTACCTTTTCAGAAACCGTTAATGGGGGTTATGCCCCTTAAAAATATGTCAAATCTCTTCGGTCAAAATATAAAAAAGTTGTGCCTCATTCACCTAAACATTTTTCACTGTTTACTATTTCTGTAAGAATAACCGTTTTTGAGATATCGACTAAAAAGTTGAAAGGTCAAAGGTCAAGGTCAACCTTAAAAACCTTTAAAACACGAAAAATCCTTTAAATAAGGTCAGAAACACATAATTCGCTATCTGGGATATGACCTTGACCTTGTGACCTTTGTCAAGGTCATTATTCACCAATGTCACTGCTGAAGACCCCATGGGTCTAGGACCTTTGGTTATATAGTAAAAGCTGATTTAGTCTTTTCAGAAACCTAAAACAGGGGTTATGCCCCTTACAGAAAGGTCAAATCTCTTCGGTCAAAATGTAAAAAAGTTGCGGCTTTATGACCCAAACATTTTTCACTATTTACTATTTCTGTAAGATTAACCGTTTTTGAGATATCCAGTAAAAAGTTGTAAGGTCAAAGGTCAAGGTCAACCTTAAAAACCTTTAAAACACACTACAAATCCTTTAAATAAGGTCAAAAACACATAATTCGCTATCTGGGACGTGACCTTGACCTTTGTCAAGGTCATTAGTCTAAAATGTCATTGCTGAAGACCCCATGGGTCTAGGACCTTTGGTTATATAGTAAAAGCTGATTTTGTCTTTTCAGAAACCTAAAATAGGGGTTATGCCCCTTACAGAAAGGTCAAATCTCTTCGGTCAAAATGTAACAAAGTTGCGCCTTATTGACCCAAACATTTTCCACTATTCAAAACTTCTGTAAGTATAATGGTTTATGAGATCATCCCATAACAAGGTGTAAGGTCAAAGGTCAAGGTCAACATACAAATTTTACCTTGAGGCATTTTCAAAGTCACATAATTTGATGATCATTGGTGAAGATCCTAGGTGGCTGCGACTTACGGTTTCTGAGTTTTAGTAGCCAACCGACATCGGTTAATTTTCATAGGGGCATAACCCTACCAATGAGTCGTTGAATCTTTTCATTCCAAATGTAACGAAGAACCGGGGTCTGGTCCTGAACAAATTTCACCCTTCGTTTTTTTTGTACCTATTACGGTTACGGTGTTTGAATGATAACAAGGTTTTTAGGTTTCGGAGGGATTACTCCGAACCGACAAAATTTTTCGACTCACAGGGTGAGTTCCGGATAGGTATTCATGACACCGATACAAAGTGTGAACATGAAAGCGACACGTCTTACGGTTAAGGCTGCTAACTTCGTCAAAGTTTGGCGGAAAAAGAATAATAATAATAATAATAATAATAATAATAATAATAATAAACAGAAGAAATACAGTGTGGTCTTTCCCTTTTGAAAAAGGAAAGACCTTAATAATTACCTAAACAGGCTTTGTCCAAACACAAACGAATTCGAAGAAAGCCGCTGGTACAAAAAGTATCCGTACTCGTCGGCTGTTCAGCTAAGACTGATTGAATCACATCGTGATTCTCGCGAGATCTCACTTAGGATAGTTTAAATAACATAAATATAGCGACGTAAACATCATGAAATAATGTCGTTGCATAATTGTTCATCGGTGACGCGTAAGTCACACAGGTAAATAAATTTGTCGTTGCTAGTGTCAAGAGTTGCACATACAGTATGAACAAAATTAGTTGTTGCAGCGAGATCCTTCGGCAACTGATTTCAAACCGTCAATCTTTAAATGAAAACAGTACTTTAATATGAACAGTTATCCTGACTGAGTTGGTCTAAAGTTGCAATGTGTAATTCTATATTTTGTCACTTCCCCATTTAATGATTGTATTTCTTCTTTATTCAATTAATATTTTAATCTTATTTTATATCTTTCATACTGTCATGCGTAGGCAATTATTATGTTACTTTACTAAGTTCAAAATATTATTGTATAATGTTTTGAAATAATGACAATTCTGCTCTTTAAATGCAGTAGAGATTGACGTAATAAAGTATTTCACAAGCGTATAGAAATATGGTCAACATTAGTCTTCCTCGACCGGAAGTATAGCCCTCGCTCGTTATGTAAAATTGAAATTTCCACCCGCCATCCAATATACCCGCATGTTCACCGACCTTCAGTCTGAATGGCCTCTATTACAGTATCTACCTATTGTATTTATATATAATATGCCCTGAACATGCATGAAATATTTGCCACTGGACGTGTAACAAGGACTCCATAAAAAGGGCACAGCCATTTAACTTGAAGTAAAAGTTATATAAATATTTCATGAAGATTGAGAAATCCCGGGCCTTAACATTTTTAAAACTGGTATACGTTTATTAGAAATTTAAATTGCTATGCAGTGGTTAATTTTACTCTGAAGTCATTTGAAACTCATAGATCATTGATGAATATTGTTGATGGGGTGTTCTGGTCCTGCCAGAAAAAAATAAAAAAAGCTGTAACAATTGAATGAATAAATTTGAGGTCCAAGTGTCAAACTTAGGTTTTGGGTGTTGGTTTGTTTTGTGTGGTAGAGCAACGGGCAAGCGTGATAGACAGATGAAAGGGTTGGTTTTGACTTTGCGATTTCCAGCTGTGACAAGATATAAGTATCTTGATGACGTGAGTCTTGACAGGCCTGAAATTGTCAAATCTGTTTTCTGAGAATAGTCTTTATTCACTGCGTTCAATTTGAAAAGTGATAATAACAATACTACATAATAAAATATAAAGTATAACAATGCAGTCAATAAAACAGATACAATAACAAATCATGGATTATTAAAACTATAGATATGAACTTTGAAGTTTCTGGCTATTTCACCTTGAACGGTGTGAACTCTTGAGCGTTTGTATGGTTTCTGAATTGTGCAGCCAGATATGCATGGGATTTGCAGTGAACAATTAAACAACTTATAAACTTTTCATTTGTACTTTTTTAACAACCAAATATCTCTCTAATAATAATTTCAACTTATTCTCAGTAACTTTAACCATTTAAAAACATGTATTTACATTATAACATAGATGTAGGCTATTATTTACAGAGAAGCAAACAGTTGTAAACAAATTTGCATATAAAGGGGGATATAACTGTGTAAGTTAAATCTTGGGACTAGCTCACATACTAAAAATAAGAACAAGGGGTACTTTATACATCTAGCATATAACACAATAAACGCCTTTACTTTGAACGGGAAAACTATAAAAAAACAAACAGGGAATCTTACTAAATAAGAGAAACAAGTGCAACACTGGGCATGCAATGGGCTAAATAGAGAACATCAGTTTACTAGCTTCCGAGAGCTTTTTGTTATCTAACAACCATGAGAACTAATACACGAAGCTTTGGATAATAATGTTCTTACACCTACCATTGTTCACAAATAATGGATAAACTGTAAATTGAGACATATTATTTGCTCATGAATTGCCGCGGTAAAAACCAGAGTTGTCTCCCATATAAAAATACTTCTGACGAAGCGTCTTTGTGAATTTGACATTGTGTGGCTAAATGTTGGTACAAAATGACTTTGTGGGACTTTTTTTGATTGTGGGACTAGTCCCACAAAAATGTTGAGAAAACACCAAATTTGAATATAAAATGATGTATTTTATGCTTATGCAAAAGTTGCAGAAAGTATTAGTCCATCATGTTGGACATGGGCATTTCCATTGGATGGACAAGACCATTCAAGGAAAAATAATTTTCATCGTCCAATGAAATGACTTGTTAGTTACAAAACTATTCAAGAAAAAAAAAGATTGTCATCGTCCAATGAAAAGACTTGAAAGTTACAAAGGAAACTTTGGGTGAAGGATGATGTCATATTAAAAGAGCACATGGCATGATGTCACATTAAAAAAGCACATGGTACCAAGGATAGGATTTGTACACTGATTTAAGAGTGGTAAGTTTTTTTAAATTTTATTATTATCATAATTAATTTATTCTGAAGTGAATGAAACACATCTGTTTCTTTGTGAGCCTTTTTAGGAATTTTTCATGGTGCACTTTACATTGTGGGTCTTTTATGTATTGAAATTTTATAATGGCAGCCATCCCTGCTGCTTTTTTAGTTTTGATGTTTGATTCAGATCTTTATAAAATAGCAGAATTCTGTATTTTTGAAAGGATATGTTACTTTCACAGCTTCACAGATACAATTCATATTTTATTATTTTTCAATTTGGAGGAATATAACATGACTCTGGATTATTGCCGGTTTGTTCCAATTTTAGGATTTGGATAAACATTGGTACTTTAAATCACATTTTGTTCAGAGTTTTTATTTAAAGGTAACAAAATATAGAACATATAACAGTACTATAATTTAGAAATTGTAATGACATGCAAAGTGGTACAGCTAGGAAAATCATATTTTTATAGAAAAATCCTTGATACTGGAGATTTTTTGTGTTTTGTTAATACTAGGATACAATTTGAATGCCTTTGTTTATAATTGAGTCTTAAAATAATACTGGAAAAGAAACCATCTTTCATATTTTTTATAAGTAAAGTGTACATGTGCATATATTTTTTATTGAATTTTTCATGTATTCACATAGATTGCATGTCTTTGTGCCTCCATTGTTATGGGACTTTCATTCCAACTTTATGGGACTTTCTAAAAATAATATGTCTTTCTGTCCAACTTTATGTGACTTTCTAGAAATTGTGTGTCTTTTTCACCAACTTTATGAGACTTTCTAAAAAAATTGTGTGTCTTTCTGTCCAACTTTATGTGACTTTCTAGAAATTGTGTGTCTTTTTGACCAACATTATGAGACTTTCTAAAAAAATTGTGTGTCTTTGAGTCCTACTTTATGAGACTTTCTTGAAATTGTTCGTCTTTCTGTCTAACTTTATGAGACTTTCTAGAAATTTTGTGTCTTGTTGTCCAATTTTATGAGACTTTCTTGAAATTGTGTGTCTTTGAGTCCAACTTTATGTGACTTTCTAGAAATTGTGTCTTTTTGTCCAATTTTATGAGACTTTCTAGAAATTGTGTCTCTTATTGTCCAATTTTATGAGACTTTCTTGAAATTGTGTGTCTTTGATTCCAACTTTATGTGACTTTCTAGAAATTGTGTGTCTTTTTGTCCAATTTTATGAGACTTTCTAGAAATTGTGTGTCTTTTTGTCCAACTTTATGTGACTTTCTAGAAATTGTGTGTCTTTTTGTCCAATTTTATGAGACTTTCTAGAAATTGTGTGTCTTATTGTCCAACTTTATGAGACTTCCTTGAAATTGTTTCTTATTGTCCCATTTTATGAGACTTTCTAGACATGGTGTATTTTTGTGACCTGAACCTTATGAGACTTGATAGACATGCCCTGAGCAAACTCTAAAGCGTTTTTTAAATTTTATATAAATGTTATGTTGAATGTCATTTAAAAAGATATAAAAGTGTAACGTCTGGGTACCCAAATCGCCCAGTGTACCCAGATCGCCCACCCCATCTTATTTTGTTACTGTCAATGCTGATGGGAAATTTTCTTGTGGGGATGAGAGAAAAGTTTAATGGCTTTAAAACACGGGAACGAATTTTGTGCACTGAAGACTTGGTTAGTCTATTGACTACCTGGGCGATTTGGGTTCCCCTCCAAAATCACAGATTCACGCCAACTTTGAGCCTTTGCCGGCAGAAAATCAGTAAGTGTATACGTACACGCCAAATGTATGTGTGAAAAATACTTGTGTAGTCTACTTCTTCAAAAATAAAAATCAACAATGATGTTGCAACAGTATCTGTGCAATGGTCTGAAACCACCCTCTGAACTGGGCGATTTGGGTACCCCGACGTTATGCAAGGTGGAAAAAATAATTTGAAAATTTCTCAATAATATGAGAATTCAATGTCAATAATTAATATCATGAAAATGTGGCAATTATTAGGAATGATAAACACTCTATTTAAACATTTGTATGCCCCCCGCCTCTAGGCAAATTAGAGGATAACTTATTGTATTTTAAGCCTGGCCTTCATAAAACATAGATTCTACTTTCACAATTTGAGTTAACCTAGCAACACACAGCGATAAAATTCAAACATTTGGTGAATTAGTTCCTGATTATCCATGTTACCTTTTTTCACTTTTAAGATGAAAACAACTTTTGAACAGATTCTGGACAAATAACTTTTCTTGAGCTTATTCCAGATGTTAAAACAAATATGTTGGCAAGTCACCTAGACATATAATAAAATTATTAGCATTTTTAAATATTCTCATGCTGGATAAAGGAAACAAGTGTGGACACAGACATGCATGGATAGTATCCAGCATTCAAGACCAATACTGGTCTGGACCTGCGTCACTGCATAGATTTGCTGTAGAGCAAATCTAAAAATTTTCCTTGTACATTGAGTAGCTAAATTTCAAACTATTGGCAAACAGGAAGTGGCTGCACCACAGATCTAAAAATTGCTTACATGTTACAACTCAACATGATCAAGCTCTGGACCAAATATAAAATCATTCCCTTTCATAGAAGCCAAGAAATCTTTGACGAAAGTTAACAACCAAGGTCTTTCCGACAAACGGAATGACGGAAAGACAGGAAGACGGAATGACAGACAGAGTTGAGCACTTACTAGACCTGCTTTTACCGTTGGTGACGCAGGTAAAAAGAAAAAAAAGAAGAAAAATCTTTTTCTATATTATATTTTTAAAAAGACTGAATCTGCCAGCATACACTTCCAATAGAGTGAGCCTGATTATGATATTATTACATGGTTATTTCTGTATTGGCCTTGTTATTGGTCCAAGGCTTGCTGTATTGGCCTGAGGCGAAGCTTGCCATCTGTCCAATTTTTAGATTGTGTGTCTTTGTGTCCAACTCAATGATACTTTCTAAAAATTGTGTTTCTTTGTGTCAAGCTTTATATTGGCCTTTCTAAAATTTCACAAACATTTTGTGTATTTGTGTACAAATTAGAGCTCTTTTTTATTTACCATTTTTTATGCTCCTAAAATAAATTTACTATATAATGTCATTAATTGTGTTTAACCTTATAGAACTTTATAATTTAAAGAAATTAAGCATCTTTGTTTCCAATTTTAAATGGGACTTCCTATATTAAGTTAAAAGTATACCCTTTTCAATATTTGCTTTTGGATCCATCCTCATGAATTTCTATCAATTCACAGAAATTTTCTGTCAATGTCCAACATTAAGGGACTGCCATTGGTCAATCCTTAAAATTGTTTGTCTTTTAGTCCAATCTTATGGGACTTTCTTTTACATTTATAATTGGTATTTATTATCAGAACTTTTTATTTTTTGGCTTGCCATCTTAGTCCAATTTTTAAATTGTGTGTCTTTGTGTCCAACTCAATGATACTTTCTAAAAATTGTGTTTCTTTGTGTCAAGCTTTATATTGGCCTTTCTAAAATTTCACAAACATAAAAGGAAAAGTGAGCTTTTGATATCACTTGGTTCTGTAGTTGTCGTCTGTCGTAAACTATTTCAAAGATTTCTCCTGAAACTACAGAACAAATTCCAACTAATCTTCAGATGAATGATCCCTAGGTTATCTAGAATAATGTGTTTCCATTGTTTGTTTGCTGCCACTTTATTTGTAATTTTAAGGAAATTTTGCAGTTTTTGGTCATTATCTTCAATACTATTATAGATAAAGATAACCTGTAAACAGAAAAACTGTTCAGCAAAGTAAGATCCACAAATTTTGGGTCAATCCTAATGAATTTTTATCATATCAAATAAATTTTGTGTCTTTATGTCTAAAATCAAGGGTCTTTTTATAAACTTTCAAAATTGCTTGTTCTTTGTCAATCTAAAAGATTGTTTGTCTTTTTGTCCAATCTTATGGGACTATTTTTACATATATTTGTATTAATTATCAGAACTTTTTTACTCAGGCCAAAGGAGGGTCTGAGTACTCTATTACGATGCTAAGTCTGGTTTGCAAAGGATAATCATTCAAAATTTATTATTTTCAAAGTGACAAATAACAGTGTTAAAACCGTTTTTTGTGTTTTAATAAAAATCGTCTTGCGAAAGAAACAATTTTAGTCCAAATTTGTAAATATTTCACATCAGGCATTAATATTGAGTAAAAAAACGCCATCATGCATTGATTTAAAAGTGAAAAAGAGACTCACCGGAACTTAAATAACCTATGATCTTTATAATGTTTTAAAACATTCTCTTTGTGTATGTAAACAAAATCATTCAATCAAACAAGATTAGCCTGGTACCCTAGCACATTCCAGCGAACCAGGGCCCCATGCTGAAACAGCATCATTACCCATTCAGATCAGTCATACAGAGAACCTTTAAAGTTTGTCAATTGCCTTACACATTATGTATTGATAATAAAGCTGTTGTAATAAATGTTTTTGTTTGTGATATTTTTCTATACAATGGACTACATAGAGCCTTCACCAATTCTTAAAATTGCATTTGTGCTAAAAAAATATTTTCTATAATTGTCTATGTCAAGTTCTACATGGTCAATATATATAGCAAAAATAATCAGAAGTCTGTTTTCATGAGTTATATTGTCCTTCAATACCCATTTTAACACAGATAATGCATAAAGCAGCAATAATTAACAAAAATAAATCTTTGATAATTAAGACTAAAAAACCATTCTGCTTAAGTTATAACTTTTAACAGCCTGAGTTTCTGACTTTTTGTCAGATGAATCTTGTTTTTGTTGGCCTTCCTTCTGAGCCCAATTATATATTGTGTGTGTTTTGTTTTTTTGACATTTTATTAATTATCAGATTTTTTTTTTGTTTTATGTAGTGTCCAATTTTTAAACTTTGTGTGTTTGTGTCCAGCTTTAAGGGACTTTAAAAAAAGTGTGTCTTTTACTTTTGTCCAACTAAGTGGACTTTGCACCCAACACTCTGGGACTTTCCATCTATTTACTTAAATTGTGTTTGCTGTTGTTGGGTTTCACATCTTTGCTGTCCATGTTATGTGACTTTTAGTCCATTTTTAAGTGACTAATTAGCATGTGATCAGTCTCACTTTCAGAATCAAAAATGGATGCCTCCATAATATTATTGTTAATTTTGGTGGTGGTGTGCATTATTCTTCTTCACCTTTTGTTGATTGCCATTTCTTATATAGTCTTCACGAGAAGAATGATGAAATTATTAACAAAATGGGACAGAGATTTCTTTGAAAGGAACCGCCCACTGTAGATTTTATTTCATAATGGGAGAACTGCCATGTTGTTTGATTTTGTTTCATTCAAATTTTGATTTTTCCCAAGCTTGTGTTTATTGTGAAGACTTTGGATTAGATGTTGTGGTATTATTCATAAACAATTTTGCAAGTTTAGCTTTTTTTTTCTTGAAGAATTTGATGATTGTGTGGATTTCTGCAATTCACTGAACTTAGATATAGTGGAATATATGCAATTCAGACGGATTTAATACTTCAGGTATATTTACTTGTAATTTTAACATTTTGTCAATAGGTCATGTATAGCATTATTTTCAAAATTCCAATTCAATCTTTGATTAAAGTGATTTTGCTGTCTTTACTAAATTTATAGCAGTGTTAAAAGCTTTTACAATTTTCAGGAATTATACATTAAATCACTAGAAAAAATGTCACGCATTATACATCTTGGAATGAAAAGCCAATATATAAAAGTAAAATCATTTATTAGATAAAATCGTATTAACATCTTTAGTAACATAAATACCAAAATCTTAAGCACAATATTCTAATATTAATCATTACTTTTAACTTTTTTGTTTGCTTTTGAGTCCAATTTTTAAACTTTGTTTGTGTCCAGCTTTAAGGGACTTTTAAAAAAGTGTGTCTTTTACTTTTGTCCAACTAAGTGGACTTTGCACCCAACACTCTGGGACTTTCCATCTATTTACTTAAATTGTGTTTGCTGTTGTTGGGTTTCACATCTTTGCTGTCCATGTTATGTGACTTTTAGTCCATTTTTAAGTGACTAATTAGCATGTGATCAGTCTCACTTTCAGAATCAAAAATGGATGCCTCCATAATATTATTGTTAATTTTGGTGGTGGTGTGCATTATTCTTCTTCACCTTTTGTTGATTGCCATTTCTTATATAGTCTTCACGAGAAGAATGATGAAATTATTAACAAAATGGGACAGAGATTTCTTTGAAAGGAACCGCCCACTGTAGATTTTATTTCATAATGGGAGAACTGCCATGTTGTTTGATTTTGTTTCATTCAAATTTTGATTTTTCCCAAGCTTGTGTTGATTGTGAAGACTTTGGATTAGATGTTGTGGTATTATTCATAAACAATTTTGCAAGTTTAGCTTTTTTTTTCTTGAAGAATTTGATGATTGTGTGGATTTCTGCAATTCACTGAACTTAGATATAGTGGAATATATGCAATTCAGACGGATTTAATACTTCAGGTATATTTACTTGTAATTTTAACATTTTGTCAATAGGTCATGTATAGCATTATTTTCAAAATTCCAATTCAATCTTTGATTAAAGTGATTTTGCTGTCTTTACTAAATTTATAGCAGTGTTAAAAGCTTTTACAATTTTCAGGAATTATACATTAAATCACTAGAAAAAATGTCACGCATTATACATCTTGGAATGAAAAGCCAATATATAAAAGTAAAATCATTTATTAGATAAAATCGTATTAACATCTTTAGTAACATAAATACCAAAATCTTAAGCACAATATTCTAATATTAATCATTACTTTTAACTTTTTTGTTTGCTTTTGAGTCCAATTTTTAAACTTTGTTTGTGTCCAGCTTTAAGGGACTTTTAAAAAAGTGTGTCTTTTACTTTTGTCCAACTAAGTGGACTTTGCACCCAACACTCTGGGACTTTCCATCTATTTACTTAAATTGTGTTTGCTGTTGTTGGGTTTCACATCTTTGCTGTCCATGTTATGTGACTTTTAGTCCATTTTAAGTGACTAATTAGCATGTGATCAGTCTCACTTTCAGAATCAAAAATGGATGCCTCCATAATATTATTGTTAATTTTGGTGGTGGTGTGCATTATTCTTCTTCACCTTTTGTTGATTGCCATTTCTTATATAGTCTTCACGAGAAGAATGATGAAATTATTAACAAAATGGGACAGAGATTTCTTTGAAAGGAACCGCCCACTGTAGATTTTATTTCATAATGGGAGAACTGCCATGTTGTTTGATTTTGTTTCATTCAAATTTTGATTTTTCCCAAGCTTGTGTTTATTGTGAAGACTTTGGATTAGATGTTGTGGTATTATTCATAAACAATTTTGCAAGTTTAGCTTTTTTTTTTCTTGAAGAATTTGATGATTGTGTGGATTTCTGCAATTCACTGAACTTAGATATAGTGGAATATATGCAATTCAGACGGATTTAATACTTCAGGTATATTTACTTGTAATTTTAACATTTTGTCAATAGGTCATGTATAGCATTATTTTCAAAATTCCAATTCAATCTTTGATTAAAGTGATTTTGCTGTCTTTACTAAATTTATAGCAGTGTTAAAAGCTTTTACAATTTTCAAGAATTATACATTAAATCACTAGAAAAAATGTCATGCATTATACATCTTGGAATGAAAAGCCAATAATAAAAGTAAAATCATTTATTATATAAAATCGTATTAACATCTTTAGATACATAAATACCAAAATCTTAAGCACAATATTCTAATATTAATCATTACATTTAACTTTTTTGTTTGCTTTTGAGTCCAAATTTTTAAACTTTGTTTGTGTCCAGCTTTAAGGGACTTTTAAAAAAGTGTGTATTTTACTTTTGTCCAACTAAGTGGACTTTGCACCCAACACTCTGGGACTTTCCATCTATTTACTTAAATTGTGTTTGCTGTTGTTGGGTTTCACATCTTTGCTGTCCATATTATGTGACTTTTAGTCCATTTTTAAGTGACTAATTAGCATGTGATCAGTCTCACTTTCAGAATCAAAAATGGATGCCTCCATAATATTATTTTTAATTTAGGTGGTGTTGTGCATTATTCTTCTTCATCAATATACAGATATTTGAAATGGCACTGAACCTTCATGAAATACCTGTGGCTTTTATTGTTTTCATAACTGACTCAGACCTTTTTAGAGTAGCTATTTTTTGTAGCAACCATTGCTTGGAGTATACTTACTGTTGTACAGATTTCTTTCATGTTGTTACATTTTTTTCCCTGGATGCTTACCACATGACAAGATTTTATTGTAATGGTGGATTTGGATATGAATTAGAACTTTTGTAGGTAATGGATATATCAGTGTACATATTTTCATTGATAAAATTCTATTTAATTTGTTGTCATGGATTTTGTAACTCATGTATATAAAACCAATATATTTAAAAGACAAATTTTAAAACACTGACGAAAAATTGTGCTCATCACAGTGATTATGAAAGATTTTAAGTTCAGAATAAGTCCTTTTTAGCTCAACTGTGCCTTTGCCATCATCATTAGAAAAATTTCAAATATTCTCCTCAACCATAATACTTATTATAATTCTGTATTATTCCTCCTGAGTTTTTGTTTTCGTTATAATTGGAGTCTTTCTTTAAATTGTCTATCTTTGTGAGGGAGTCCAACCTTATGGGACTTCTATACTACTAAAGGAAGAGACTGATTTCATTGAGCCGCAATTCCTCTGAAACCATACAAAGTTGGAAATATTTGTGATATGACGTATGATTGTAGTGTTTTGTACTTCCTAAATTTGTCTTTGAAACAATCTCTTTCCACAGAAAACACCAATTTTTGTGAAAATAACAAAATCTGGTTATCAATCTGTGTCATATACGCTTTATACTACCTTAATTATTGTGAAGCCTGCAAGTCGTAAAAATGAGACATGGCGATCCTACATACCTTTGTTCGCGTCGTCTGCAGCAGCAGAAGTGTTCACAATTATTCACTCTGTGGTTAAAGTTTATGAAATTTTAATAACAATTTTTAAACTATACTGGATTTCTACAAACTTGGACAAAAGCTTGTTTATGATCATAACATAGTATCCAGGAGTAAATTTTGTAAACAAATCCTGTTTATTTATATGGACTTAGTTTTTCTGCCAATTAACATTACATTCACTCTGTGGTTAAAGTTTCAAAAATGTTAATATTATTAACTTTAATGATCGGAAAAGTGTGGCTGTTGAATTACAGAAACAAGGTGACCATGAGGTCAAAATGGTCAGATTTTTTTGATTTTTTATTTTTTCAAATGTCTGTATCTTGAAAATGTCCAGAAACATTAAGTATATGTCTGGATGACGCTTTTTCCAAACAGACAATGTCCGGTAAATTTTCAAATGTCCGGAATAAATGACCGTTTTGGAAGCCGTAATATGTATCTAGAAGGAAATTTATTTTCTGTTTTTATGAATATTACTTATAGATTATGGACTTAGTTTTTCTTCCAGTAAACATTACATACAGTCTGCAGTTTTTAAAACATTTATTAGATTCCTAAACCATCATGAATTTTTACCAAACTTGAACAGAAGCGAACCCTTACAAATTTTAATACATACTTATTTAAAAACAAAACATTAAGAACTTGAATACTAAAACAAAAAGAGTATATGCATTTCTTCATGAAATATGATTGTCCTAAAAATAAACAAAAATGCAAAAACTGTTACATAAGCGGATCCAGGGGGGGGGGGGCCTGGGGGGCCTGGGGCCCCCCTTTCGTGGGAAAAATTTAGTTGATTATATAGGGAATCACTGAAGCATGACTGGAGTGGCCCCCCCCCCCCTTATGTCAGTCAGCGGGTCCCCCCCCTTATGAAAAGTTCTGGATCCGCCACTGTGTTATTGAATACTATTTACATCTATTAGTGCAAGTGAATAAAAATCCAGACAATAATAAGGCGTACTTTAGTTCACAACTCCGCGATGTTGCAGGCGTGTTCTAGTCTTATAAAAATACACATATATTATAATGTGGTTTTATGTCCCATTTTTAGAAATTTTCTAGAAATTGTTTGTCTTTAAAATTTTGTCCAACAGAAATGGATGTAAAAATGAAATATGTTCACTTTTTGATACTTTCAGATTTTTTCATTTACAATATGCCAAAAAGAAAAAGAAAAAGTGATCAAGCTGAGGATTCTCAGGTTAGTACATACTGGAAATTTAAATTTTTTAGTGAATCTGTTTTAGGGAATAAGGTAGATTTGGCAGTACATTGAAAAAGAGAATTGGGTGTACAACTTGTAAGTCATCTCATGTTAACAGGCGACGTGTTAACGTGTACATACTAGAAATTTTAATTTCATCATGGTACTTCTTTAAAATTGATTCATGGAAATCAACTTAATTGCATTTCTATCCTCTGCAAAGTTTGCATTTGTCTGAAAGTCAGTTTACATGAAACTACTTGACCCTGATTAACATTTTTTTAAATATACTGTAATGAAAAATAGACAAGTTTATTTTCACACTCCATGGTTATATGGAACAAGAGAAGAAAAAAAACATTTATGATTCTCATGGAATTCAAAGTATTATATTATTATACACAATTACTGCTTGTAGTAGAGGGGGTTATGCAGGAGAACCACACATACTCAAAACTCATTAAAAGTAATTCTCAAACTGGACACATGGAACCCAAATTTTGAGCAAAAGGGAGGTATTAGTTCTAACAGCTTATAGCAGGTTATGTAGAGATTATATTTGATAGAAACAAAACAAATATTGCTATCAATCATATAACTGTACAACATTGATATTTCCTTAATATATTTAATCTATATATATAACCTACAACAAATTACTCCTTAATTTTGTTCTTTTGCAGATGTATGTTTGGGCAAAGCTGAAGGCCACGCCAATTATGTGGCCTTCAAAGGCCAAAGGAAATGGTCAAGTCGTAATACTTTGTGACAATGCTGAGTAAGTCTATACATCAGTCTTCATTAATTTGTAACTATATTAAGCTCTGAATCCATCAGAAACAATGCCTATGTGAACCTGAAGTAATTTTTTTTCATGCTAGTTTTTCTTCAAAAAACCTGAAGGAGATTTTTTCTTTTAACATTTATAGAGAAATGCTCATTCCAATAGGGATTATAGTTGTGCAATAACAAATATTAGCTTGATGAAGAGAGGATATACATAGGATATATATTGCTTTCCAATCCTGTTCAGACATGTACTGTAAATTCAGAAATTATTGTGTGCATTCATTTTTGCGATTTTGTCATTTTAGACTAAAATGACATTTTAATTTTTGCGATTTTGAAAAAAAATTGTTTAATTCATATAAAAAAAAATTAAAATGTGAGTTTAAATTATTTCGATTATAACCCTGTCGCATTTTTTACAATTATATTTATTAAAAAAAAATTGCAATAATTTCTGAATTTACAGTAATAAAATATGCTTAAATTGAATTAAATGAAGACATGACTATTTCATACCACACACAGAAGGTTGGGATCAATTTTGAGGGTTATGGCTTTAACCGTTCAGATATTAGTGGCCAAATTAGCCCCAAAACAAAGACTTTTTTTAATACTAGCTAAACTGGTTTTAACATAAGTTATTTCTAATCTATATAAAGAAACAACAAATACTGATATGGCAGAAGATACACACCAAACAGTATAGTGTCTGAAAACAGATTTACTAAGTATTGAGCAACAGCAAATTAAGTATTGCACTGAACAGCAAGAAATCTTTAATTGAAAATTAATACAAATCTTCTAACCAATTTCAATGAGGAGTAATTTAAAGTCTTTCTAAAAAGGTCTACTTTGAGGTCCAAAGGATCCAAATTTAGATTTTGTTTGTTTTCATCAAAAACTTATTTCTTGTCGTTCTAAGATATGCTGAATCTAACTGTGCCCTCATTCAGATTTTTTATTTTTGGCCCAATAAGTCAGTCTAATTTTAGGGTTTAAAATTAAACTTTGTTTGATTGCATCAGAAATTGAATTCATGGGTATTTTTTATATGTTGAATAAAACCATGGAATGGAATTGGATTTTGGATATTGGACCATTAAGTAAAAAAAAAAAATGTCCCATTTCAAATTTTGAAGTTCCATGACCACATTTATTCTATGTCAGAAATCTATAATGTGTAAATTTTCAATCACTATTCAAATTCAGGGCTGTGTAAAGCTTGAATATTGTGTCAATAGACCATACTTGCATCAACTGTTCAGGGTTTGACTTTTGCTGTCCTATGAAGCTGCTTCTGGTGGAGCACATTTTTCTTTTTAGAGAAAGGCAAAATTTTTGGTTTCTTGAGCTGGCGAAACTTTATTATTATTATTCTACCATTTTTATGTTAATTAGAACAATGGTAGGCCATATCTTTGTCTTATTGTAAATCCAAGCAAAACTTGCTGGTAATGAAACTGTTCGTAATTTTTTATTTTTTTTTCAATTTTTTGTCTTGTTTGCATATTTTTAGATTAAAATGTATGTCCTCAGTACCATTTGATGATGAAACGTATGAAAAATATAGAAAAGAAGGCATTGGTACTTGCATTATTTAGTTTCTGCATGCATGTTAATACTTGTTCATTTTTATTTGAATTTGTTGTTATTTCTTATTTAAATTTGATTTCTAAATCCAGTCAAAAGAAAAACTAATGGATGTTTGCTCCATCGTCATGTTTGTTCTTTCCATATATATTTCTAGCACACTTTTCCTAAAGGAAATGTGAGCTTATGCCATCACTTGGCATCTGTTGTCGTCCACCAAAGATCTTCTCCTCTGATTCTATTAGGTCAAATACTCCAAAATGTTAACTGAATGTTCCTACGGGTATATAGTTTATAAATTATATTTGAAGATTTGTTTATCAACAAACATGACCATTATGGCTAAAAATTTAACATAGGGGTCAAATGATGTTTTTTTTTGCTTATATCTCAAAAACTGTAAAGAATTTTGTTTTGGCTTTGTCAACGAGTACATGAGTACTCGATTATTGCACGGTAGCACTGAGTACTCGATTATTGCTCGGTAGCACTGAGTATCGAATACCAAAATGATACTTGACTTATCAATGTCCTAGAGTATATTATCCCCGACTATTTTCAAACAATTGATTTTCTTAGATATAACGAGTCTCCAGAGAAATAAGAAATCCAAATTGACAAACTTAATTCTTATCTTTCTAAAAAAAATCACTCCCGAGACAAACCCTTTCAAGTGGTAGGCTACAAATCAAAACAGCTTTCTAAGCTTTACAATTTTGGCAAAACTTATATATATTTGCAATCCTTGAATCATCTGTGATTAATTAATAACAACATATTGTTATTTAAAAGAACTTTGAATTACTGGTCCCTTAAAACTAATTAGAGGATGGCCGACCATGTAAATGTAAAATGTTATAGATCTATATTTCCCGAGCGAGTACTTGATTATTGCTTGGTGAAACGAACCAGTACTCAAGTATTAAATATGTATAGGTAAATATTCTTTAAGTTTATATAAAAGTGATATTTTTGATGAAATAATTTTACATATACAACATGCTTCTCCCAGCTTAAATTTTCAGCAATGTCAATTCCAAGTAATATAAAAGAATGCACATTTTCAATATAGGTTTCATTAATAGTAATACACAATTCTGATAGTTGAGTAAGCTTTTGTTTTGAACATAGTTTCATGCACTTTGTTTTTTTGTGCATTAATTTTCATACTATTATTTTCACACCAGTATTGTATAGATTTTAAATCATCTTGCAAAATGCTATTAATATTTTCAATATTTTTATTATGATAATGTAATGTTGAATCATCAGCATATAAATTCATGTTTGATTTTAGATTGTAAGCAGGGATTTGATCCATCATATATATCCTATTAGGTCACTAGCATACTTTAGATTGTAAGCAGGGATTTGATCCATCATATATATCCTATTAGGTCACTAGCATACTTTAGATTGTAAGCAGGGATTTGATCCATCATATATATCCTATTAGGTCACTAGCATACTTTAAATTGTAAGCAGGGATTTGATCCATCATATATATCGTATTAGGTCACTAGCATACTTTAGATTGTAAGCAGGGATTTGATCCATCATATATATCCTATTAGGTCACTAGCATACTTTAGATTGTAAGCAGGGATTTGATCCATCATATATATCCTATTAAGTCTCTAGCATACTTTAGATTGAAAGCAGGGATTTGATCCATCATATATATCCTATTAAGTCACTAGCATACTTTAGATTGTAAGTAGGGATTTGATCCATCATATATATCGTATTAAGTCACTAGCATTCTTTAGATTGTAAGCAGGGATTTGATCCATAAAAGCATACTTTAGATTGTAAGCATGGATTTGATCCATCATATATATCCTATTAGGTCACTAGCATACTTTAAATTGTAAGGGGGGATTTAATCCATCAACAAACATGGGTTATTATCTTTAATAATATATTATAAATAAAGAGATAGTGAAAATTGCAAAATTGTTCGGCAATTCAGCTGAACTCATAATGGTAGGTCAATGGTATTTTGTATTCTGACAGATACATCAGTATATGTGCGTTCAATTTCGATTGAGATTTTAAGGATATGCCCTGTATTCAGGGTTCATTGGGATGCTTCCTTTTGTCTAATAGATTAATCTTTAAGTCAGAAGACATTACTTTAAAAGTGCAATATATTGAGTCACAATATTATTATCAAGCATAATTGTGTCTTGTTTGACTTGGACCTTACACATTTGCTTGGACTGTAGAAAATATATCAAAATATGATAACTGTTGCTGAAAGAATTTTTTTATGAAGGTTTTCCTGGACCTGTAGATATTTAACTTATTATTTCAGATGTTCTGAAAAGGAAAAGGCTGGATGAAACATTGAAAAACTTTCATATAGATTGTGATGCAGTGAAGAAATTATACACAGGTAACAAGTTGATATCATCTTTTCTTATATCACCACAAAGAAAAAATGTGTTTGTAAAATGCTTTTGCATTGTTGTACACATTGTCTGTAGACATTTGGTTTACAGACAATAAATTAGTATTAATTTAGAAAAAAATCATTCGACCCCAAGAGATTACTGGAAAATTATTTTTCTGGTTGTATTGAACCCATCCCAGCTTATAAATGTCTTTTTCAGCCTATTTTTAAAATTTTGATACAACCTTGAGAGTTGAACACGTTTTGTCCATTCATCTTTTATCTTGTAATTATATTGCTTCCCATCCATGCTGATTGGAAGTAAATTTTACATGATTGTCTTGCTGTGGAATTATTAATAGCAAACTAAGGTCTGCCAAAATGTCTGTTTTTGCACATTTCTGACTAAACAGTAACCTTATTTTTACAGACTAGATTTTCTGGGGGCCATATAATACCTCCTTGTTGTCCTTAACTACCTATGCATGCATAAGGGTAATAGTTCGTGTTTTTTGCCTAAACCATCAAAAAACTCCCACCCCCATGTGAATTTTCTGCTTTGTACAGCTCTGATTTTTGACTCAAAGAAGGGCTTTGAGGTCATACTTTTATATTAACAAATATGTCTTGATTGGATACATCCGATAATCCACGAGTAACTATGTTAGAATCTGTTTCTCTAATGATTAAATAATAAATTTTTATTATTTTTATTTATTTTTTTTTAAATTTCCCTGCAAAAGGCAATTTTTCTAAGCAAAAACTGCTTTTAAAAGTCTTTAAGTTCTAAACTTGTTCCCATATAGTTTATTGCCTCTGAAATCATTATTAAGCTCAGTTTACCATATTGGTTTATGTTTTGATTGCATCTTTTGGCATAAATAGTTTTTTTAGTATACCTATTACATTTTAAGATAAATTGAGTATTGGAGTGGACCCAAAGTTTATAACCTGTTTTTGTATTGACTTATTATTTATTACTTTTGGTTTATATTTAGAACTGTATTAGATAATTATTTAATTTAAATGTTAAAGACTGTAAAAGAACACGTTGTGGTAGTAAATAGGAAAAGGACTTTCAAAATTATAGAAGTTACTTTTCTACATATTTAGTCTATAACCTAGGCAAACCCAGTATCAGTAATAACTGATAATATATTTGTGAGCCTTACTTTAGCTACTAGTCTGAAGACAAATTATTACTTGAACTTAGATGATATAAATAAATTAATTATTTACGGTACAAAGGTTACATATAACTTTTCCTTCTTCAAAAATATTTAAATATACTCAATTTTTCCAAGATAACTTATAGTTAATTATAAATAGTGATAATCTATAAAGATCATCAATTATAACTTAAATTTACTAAAACAATATTAAACAAATAACAAAATTGAATCAAAGCGCAAGGGAGATAATTATCATTTATCTTATAGCGAAATTGTTACATTCATCTCCCCTAAGAATCAATTTATATGAAACATATATATTATTCTTGATATATTTTTTTAAACAATTAAGCTAATATTTAAATATATGAAATTATATAAATATAGATTCTTACATTGATACCAGTGGATTATCGGATGTATCCACTCGGACTTTAAAATTGATAATTTAACTGTCTTGATTGGATACATCCGATAATCCACGAGTAACTATGTTAGAATCTGTTTCTCTAATGATTAAATAATAAATTTTCTTTCTTTGTTAAACGAAAACCCCCTTCGAGTGCCCTTCGCATTCCACGAAGTTGTCAATTCATTAACACCTGTTAGCATATTTTGATTCATTCAGTTAGCTAAAAAGGTTATGACCCTTGAAATCAGCCAATCATCTTTTGAGATCACCGGCAACCACACGTTGATTAAATTTTTTTATACAATGGGTTCGGAAAGGGATAAATTTCCATAGAATCAGAGAAATGCATGTAATTAACAGCTTCCCTTATAAATGAAAATTTCAATATAAAGTCCAAATAAATCACATAATGTCAAATAATAATAGTCCAAATCATAACCGTCCAAAATGTCTCCTACCATCCGGGTTTCTTTTTCAGCTGTAAAACATCTTGAATATGTTAGCCTCATGGTCACGTAGAACGACGATTGCTCCTTGGAGGTTCGGAAAGAGCTCTTTGCTATTGATCCTTTCTTTTAAGATGAGCCTTTCCTTGTCTTCTTCCTCTCTTGCTTGCACATTGACTTTTGGTTTCAATATGCGTTTTACTATGTTTTCCGGTCAATATAGTTCATTTTATTTACTATCTGTGGGGTTGTATTGAAAACTTCTTCTGTACGTGCTTTAAGGTTAAGTTTGTGGAAATCCCTTAAATGTTGAAGCAGGAACCCTAATTTTCTTTGGCACAAACGACAATTTATAATAGATGTTTTCTTCGTATGAAAACGGAGCCAATGTTTACTGTACATCCCTATACTCTTGATAACAAAGTTTCACACCCCTTTACCTCACAAGGCATCCCTTCATCAGGCCAATGATCTGGAATTTCTTCTTCAGAAGGTTTTACAAATTTAGCTACCGAAATTTCAGACATACTGAAAAGGTTAAAATATAATTAATTATTACAATATTAAACATTATAACTGTTTGCTAGGTAATTTTCCCCTAGGGTTTATAAATCGTTTATTAGCACATAATATAATGGATTTACTGATGCAGTGCGTTCTACCGCAATATCTTTTTTCTAAAAGGTGGTGCGTTCTGAAATGTCGGCCTAGTTCACACCTGTGTTTAAATTTTCTGTTGCACATAGTGCATTTATACATAGGAATATAGTGCATTTATACATAGGAATATTTTCTAAATGTACAACTTTCCAATATTTTATGTTACGTGAGTAGTTCCGGAAACGTTTATATTGAATTACATGTATGTATGTATGTATGTATGTATGCGTATCAATTTGTCTAAATGATATTTATATACAAAATAAATAACTCAAGCCAACACATGTACCGGTACTTATTTGTGCTTTTCACATTATTCCCAAGTCCTGTATTTTGCTGACTGAACTAAATATTTTGTCATATGTTGCTTACAATATTAACATCTTTAACTCAACAATCAATTTAAAAAGGCATGAAATAAAATAAATCTTCGGAAGTTCCATTTCAGTTAAAATATAACATTTATTCAGTGCTCTTTTTTTTAAATTCATAATCATGCATGATTTTATTTATTATTCATTTATTATAATCTCTTGCTAAACCATACACCCCTACTATATTTCGCTAGTGCTGTTTATATCAATAATTTGATATCTAGCTTTTGATATAATCTTGCTGCGATCTTTTGTACAGATTCTAATGTATTAATGTTGTTCAACAAATTCACTCCAACTCACAAGTTTGATTTATAATAAAACATGTAAAAATGTATTCCAGCATAAAATAACGTCTCATAAAAAACATTAAATTAATTAAGATCGTCTATTGATTTCAGACATTATATCATGCACAAGTTTCATATACATATGACCAATATATATATATATATATATATATATATTACCTGGTAATTAATTAAGAAATAATTCATGGCAGCCGTAGATTTGTTTTCATTTAACCATGGGTTGGGCATTTATATTCGATTATTTTACCCTGATCGTCAGCGAGGAGTAAAATACGAATATAAATGCCCAACCCATGGTTAAATGAAAACAAATCTACGGCTGTCATGAATTATTTCGATTCTAATAGGACAAATTCGGTAATTTTGTTAACCGTGAAAGCTCTATACACACGTTACTGTTTTGGGGGATCCGTTTTATCCCCATATGATAATATTAGTAATATTATTTAATTCAATAATCATTATTTTTTCAAATCGCTTTTTTCACGTATATATATGTTCTTTTCATATAATTTCATTGCATTCTGAGTCGAACAAGAAGCATTAAAACGCCCGGTATTTACATTTGATTTTTGTTTGTTTACGGAAACACACAAATGACGTCACCTTGTTTCGTTGCCATGCAAAGATGATAACATTTCGCGGAATTTTCCTTTTATGAAATTTTACCACAAAAAATAAATTGAAATGGACTGATTTGTTTATTTTGCTTTAAAATAGAGATAACAAAATTGTATCTGATTCTTGTCCTATGTAAACTGTCGGTTTGGAGATATATGGATATAACGCTCCTTTGACAATATTTTTCGCAACACAATAGGTCCTGTGTACAATAGAAATTGTCCATACTATGTTGCTTTCCATCTTTCCAACTTTGCTAAGGAACGTGGTTGTCGAGCAAATTCTGAAGGCAATTTACCAGAGTTAAATACTAACTTATTGGAAAGTTCGCCAAGTTGTATACTAGTATGTGAAAGTTTTCACACAGTTGGACCTTGTCTAAAAACCACAGGATATATAATCTAAGACAAAAGATGATCTGCATGGAATGTCGTACCGAACAAGTGATGTTTCACCCATCTGATGTTTGACATAATTTCTTGCTAGCTGTAAACAATTCATCAGTTCTTTATTCGTGTAATTCAGAAGAGTGCATTATGACACGATTATTCTTCCAATATCCCTTAAAGTAAGGGGGCCCAGTATCGAAAAAGACGTTTAGTTAACGAGTTTAAGTTAACGGAGAACGCACGGCTATATTTATATGCAAAATTTCAATCAAGAATGTCGTCGTTAGCTCCCGTGATCACGTTTTTCAAAATGTTGTGCTTTCTTAGGGTACCCCAAAAATACTGCACCATACAGGTCATCTTCAACACGAAGCTGAAAATATTTGTAAAATTTAAGTATAAGTATTTCATGATTAGTTAGACTTTTTTTTAGCTGAAATTTACCACATTTTAAAGTAAGAAAATTTATTACGTGTAACTTTCACGAGATTTTTACTCTTATTAAAGCAATAAGACATGGTTCATATGTGTGCCAAATATCTTTCGTGTAATGTTAATCGATGTGAAGAAAATAGCAATTTAAAAGACAAATGAAGTCAAAATGTCTGCTGGATAGTT